GCTCTGTGAGTAAAATTCAATTTTTAACTCTTCTGTACAGGCTACAGTACTATATCCAAGAAATATTTGCTGCAATCTTCTGAATAAACACACAACAAACTTTTTTCGCTGAAGCGGGAACAATCCCAGGGACGGATGTATGCATGTAGCTATGTCACATTCCACGCTAGCCTGTACATGTCAACCGAACAACTCCACACTGGAATACCCCTTCCTGCAACGAGTTTCAACTTCTGAGGCAATATAGGGTAACCTATACATTTTATATTAGCTGTGCTTTGGCCAACCAAATTGGAAGAATTGAAAAAGACGCTTTCTGCCCAGCATGTGCTATGGCTAGCCATTTAATGGTCTCTCTATGTCCTGTTCCTTAAACAGCAGCAAGGCTGCCTTCACTCAGTGTTCACAGAAGCTGAGTTTATCAAGTCCAGCTTACTTGATTTTCTTCTGGAAGCGTAGCATGAAACTAAGCAGCGCTTTCCAGCCCTGAAGCCTAACGTCTTGCGATACTGCAAGGCGCCAACGCCAAACGCCAACTCACAATGTCAAGCGCTGTTCACTTACAATGTCCTTAAGACTGCCGTAGCCATCACCCGTCAAGCCACGTTCACCGCAAGCTTAGCGTGATCGTTCACACGACCTAAGGCTCCTGCATCACCAACTGTGCTAAAGCGAGGGCGCATGGCTATTCCTAGTTAGTCCAAGATGGCCTCTATCATCGTCCCATTCCACTATTACATTAGTGCGTCAAGCCCTCCGGCACAACCACCTCGCTACCCTCACGATCACACAACAACCTCGATGCTCCCGGCCCTTGCGTTAGCTTGCACTTAACTGCTTTACAACCAATTATTTTTTTCTTTGACCAAATTTCTATAATGTTCTACAGTGAATAGTGCAACTTTTTCCGGGTCCGTATCTCAGCCACGGCACACAAACAAGGTGAGGCTCCTAAAGATATTTAAAGCAAGAGCTTAATCCTGGCAGGCTCGCCATTATATTGTAATGAAAATTTATTCTATTTCGGGGCTAAAGGTCGTCAACGCTTGTTTTGCGTGTAGTGCGAGAAGAAACTAACTTTGAGATGACGCGGTAACAACACACACCACGTTTATAACAGAACACGGAAAATAAACATAGAAAACAATGAGGCACAAAAGGTACGTACAACCGACAGAGAGAAATAAGCTTGAGTTGACCAATTAGCGTTCAAGTAAGAACGTTCGAAAACCTAAGAGCCATAATCGAAACCCTGCTCACAAGCTGTGGTACAGTACATAAGACGGCGTCAGCATACCACCCCCAAATTATTGGGCTGACAGAGAGATTTCATCGGACACTAACAGACATGCTATCGATGTACATCGCACCAAACCACGACAAATGGGATACGATTTCGCCTTTTGTGGCGTTTGCCCAAAGCACCGCTGTTCAAACAACTACTGGCTACTCGCCTTTCTCCCTCATGTACGGCCGTTCACCGACATTCACCATCGACGTCTCTTTCCTAAATGTTGTAAGAGACGCCTCGGCAACCGTATCAGAGCAGTTCATCACAAGGCTCGAGTAATGTCGGCAACGGGCTCGCCTTAATACAGAAGCCAATCAGCAAGATCACAAGCAGCGCTACGACAGCTCTCATCGCGATGCCTCCTTCAGTCCGGGGGATGAAGTGTTGCTTTGGATGCCCATTCGTACTCCAGGATTGTGCGATAAATTTCAGTCACGCTTCATTGGACCCTATACAATCAATGAACAAACGTCACCAGTGAACTACCGTGTCACTCCCAGCGACCTTTCTTCGGATCGTCGCTGTCGTGGTTCGGAGATTGTCCACGTATCGCGTCTGAAGCCATTCGTTCGACGTTCCGTTTCCACCTAAGACGCGTGCGGTCTGGCCGCTCACGCGTGGGGGGGGGGGGGGAATAAGTGTGAGCATTATTCATGCGCGTCATCTTATCATATGTACATACTCATCATCATCAGTCGGACCTGTGTTGTGGGACAGAGGCTCGGCAAGTAAAAGAAGTGTCTTGCAGCCAAGACGTTGCCTTACAATACATACATACATACATACATACATACATACATACATACATACATACATACATACATACATACATACATACATACATACATACACACACATATATGTATGTATGTGTATATGTATGTATGTGATTAAGAAAAAAAATTAAAAATCTCTTCGGCATGCTGCCTTCTGGCACACTATTTTGCACTATCAATGGCTAAAAATTGTCAACATATCGGAATAGTTTGACAGTATGTGCCTCAGCAAGCCTCGATGGAGAAATGTTGTAGGCCCGTGTACTCAGATTTGGGTGCACGTTAAAGAACCCCAGGTGGTCGAAATTTCCGGAGCCCTCCACTACGGCGTCTCTCATAATCATATGGTGGTTTTGGGACGTTAAACCCCACATATCAATCAATCAATCAAGCCTCGATGGATGCGTGTAACATAACGAGCAAATAAAATATCACTAACGCCTGTTTTGCTATTTTGCTGTAAAACATGCTGTTTTATCTCATCTAAAATTTGGCTACCTTGTTAAGGTAGCCTTACCCTCGATTAAATTAAAAACATGTCTACTCGAGGCATTCGTCAGTGATATTTTATTAGCTCATTACGATGAACATAATGCATGAGGAGCATACATGATGGGCATCATTATCAATGTTTTGTAATCGCCAATTTCGTTAACGAAGTTAAAGGACTTAAGAAAGCAGGCTTTTCTAATAAACTGCTCTCAGGCATAGTAGAGTCACTTCTGAATTAATTGAAGCAGAGGAAGAATGCACAGCATGCATCTCAGGACGAGCAAAAGCCGAAAGTTTCTGCCAATCTTTAAGTGCACAAAGTTTCGCACTGCTTAAACATCATTGAAAAAACTGTGGTGAAGGTTGTTTGACGAAAAAAGGAGCTAGGCTCTTTACAGAAAAAAGCTAATTATGAAGGATGTTTAAAAATTGGGTGCAGTTAGAAGCAAACAACAATGTTCGTAGAATTTGGTCATTCCTTTACCATGTGGTCGATACTACGTCGGTTAGACGGGACGTTGTCTGAACGATTGCTTTAAGGAGCACGCAAATCTCATGCACGGATCTACCTGGCAAGTCACTGCGCGCATTGTGGGTGGACCCCAAAGTTTTATAAATGCAAAAAAATTGCCAAGATAGATATAAAGACAAGGGGACAACTTAAATACAACCAGCGTTTTTGATTATCCAAGCAGAAACTGTGTGTGTAAGTACCTCGTCCGCTAATCTGTTCGACAATGAATACAAATATCTTTTCAGGTAAATTGTCAATTCAAGATTTGAGTAAGACATTGGGGTACATGTGCCATCTTTTTATTTTCTTTTTTTAGCGTGTAAACTCCGTGCCCTCTTGACTTAGTATGTACAATCCCACCATCTGTGCAATTAAATTGTTTTAAGTATGGGCACTGTCCTATCTGTCTTCTTTCTGAAACGTTTACTGCACACTAAGAAAGTTTATTTCTTTCAGAAATAAGGCAGCTCACTATCGCTGAAGAGAACCAGGATATTTTATTGAATTTAGAGACAAGAAAGATGTGATAGACTTAGGATAGGTATTCTTAGAAACTGAACGGCAGTTTACGTGTGTCCTCCAAGAGCAAAGTCAATAAAAGCTGCACGGAGCCAATACTTAGCTAAGTGCAGAAACTTGCCGACTCAGGAAATGCTTATACTTCACTTGGGAATGACAGAGCAAGCCATAAAATTAAAATATTAAGAGAATTTTTCCCTATTTTAAGAAAATCGTAAAATAACCAGACGTACTTGGAAAAGGAACAAGAATGTAACAGGGTGCTTTTTTTACTAGAACAATTTGGTGAGAAATGAACGAAGCAAAATTGTTACCAAGACTGACTTTGTTCTCAACCAAATCATCCAGGAAACGTACGGTGACACTATGGAGTACTTACCCAAATATTTTATAAAGTATGCTTCCTGGCAAATCTCTTATTAAGAGTACAGATGACATGACAAAGAAGAGACAAAAGAAACCGGCTGACACGTACGCAGTCTCTATCGTTTTGTTAATGTGGGAACCTTTCTCTGTATCCCTCCTCATTTTAGTACAAACAAATGGAAGCTGCACTTCTCTTAGACATTGTCACACCAGTGCACAGGGTCTTTAGTCTATAAAACAGAGACTAGAAATATCAGCGATACCTGATCAACTGGGTTTGCGTGGCAGAAAATGCCGTAGTCACCCTACACTGGAGACCCAACTGTGATTCCATGATACTTACTTGGGAGTAACAAAAACTCGAATGGTCCCTCATTTACTCAAATTAGACGACTGGAAGGCAAAGCCATCTTTCAGTCACTTAATTCTTGGTACTCCACTACACTTTAAATGTTTAGTTCAGCCAATGCGGTTTTTCATTCGCTCAATGATTTTACGTACCTCACGTAATTATGCACTGCATGCCTGATAGGCTCACCATTGAACACGATGCAATATCTTGTCATAACATGTTTATGCTCTTGGACACAAAGTGTCGTCATGGTGGTATCATGAAGCCATAGTGACGTCTTTATTTGCTTCCTATGTAGCTTGATAATGATGCAAGGAACGCCATATATTTTCTCAATGTGCAATATTATGATGACGTAATATGGGGATATCCTCCCGTGATATTTCTTTGTCATTATGCATGCTGTGCCCATCAGGAGACGGCAGGGTGAGACGCTGGTCAATTTTTGTACTCTATGAGGCATACGAGACACTCCCCTTAGTAAAACTCATTTGATGTCTTTGTGCCTGACACCCGTAGTAGGATATGTAACAAGTACAAGCCTCGGTCTAAAGTGCACGCACACGTCTGACCAATGTCGTTTCAGATGAACACATGCAGTGTGCAATAAAACACCATTTGCATCCTTTCTTCTGGGACACATCCACGACATGGAACACATGCACTGTGAAGGCCACTTGGAAGACAATAGTCATTGAAATAATTGTTTATTTGAGCAGACGCACACCATCCGGAGTACGGCATGAGTCATCACATTGAAGTGTCGTCATGCGATGAAGTAAGGTCTGCCTCAGAGCATGTACGTCTTTTGCTCACCAAGGGGCTTGTAGCCGGCACTCGATGATACTCCCCGAGTCAGCCAGTCCACGTAGCCATCCACTCTAGTGTACACCTGCGGATTGAAGATTCCACCGCAAGTTCCAGCGCCGTACGAGACAATTCCAACTTGCTGGAAGCGTCCAGTGCCGGTAAGAAGCATCAGAGGTCCGCCAGAGTCACCCTGTGTGGAAAGAATAACGAATTAGAATTATGACCTGCCATTCAACTGTGAAATATAAGCCCTAAAATGAACCAATTCCTCAAACAACCTCATGTTTTCTTATCTGTAGGTAAGTATGCAGTATAACCTTAAAGGTGCGAAAGCACAATATCTGATGGTAAACGTAATTTTAAAATAAGTTGGGGAGCCCGGAATAAAATTTCATACAAGAAATACTGAGAAAAATGCGTTGGTGCATAGTAAACTTCAGAGTTAACTCGCATAGTGTTGAAAACAGTTGAGGTGAGACACGTTCTGACGCTCTTAGAAATAATATGGCTAAACTCCTGATGCTCGTGATGGCACTTCAGGTGAATGTTCATGTTGAAAGTTTGGGTAGAGAATTCAAAGGGGAAGTAACTTACTTTGCACGCACCCTTGCCTACTCTGTTGGCGCAGCATTGATAGACGTCCGAGTAGTCAAACCTTGAATATAGTAATGAGCATATTATGCTAGGGTAAATTGAGACTGTTGTTTGACGAAGAAAGTCTACGCCTTGTCCACCTGTGGAAACAAGGAAAATAAAGGGTAGCTTTATCAAAAAATTTATCAACTGTAGGGAGGTGCGCACCTTTCAATTCCTCAATCACATTATCTAAAGTCAAAGATGTCTGTTTGATTTGTAAAAAAAAGAACAAATATTGAGGTGACCATTTCGAATCACTAAACTCATAACATTTACAAAGCTTTATAAGTATAGCAAACACGCGTCTGATGCATCCATACATGCCGGCCAATTCAGGCCTGCCCATTACCCTCCCAGTCGCGTACTCGAAAAACGCATACACGCTCTTTATTGAGCGTCAGCAGCAGAAACTGACAAAAGCACCTCTACCTGATGTGTCCTGTCATTTTAAAATATATTTTAGAGTGCCGTTCGAACCAAGTAAAACTGATAGTCTGTCTATAGCATCTAGGTATATCTATGATTTTTTCACTCTGTCTGTAATATTTCAGCGCCTTTCACAATCCTCACACTGAGTAGCATATCCGTGATGTGTTGACGACACCAAAGCTCCCCCTTTTTCTAATAATATGTCTCTATCTCCATCATCTTCGAGTGGGTCTTTCGGATAGCTTTTGGGTTATGTAATCATTTAGTCTACGTAGCATGTAAATAAATTCTTAGTCGGGCTCATAGCCAAAGAGGGTGCCTTAGCCCTCCACCCCCCCCCCCCCCCCAAAAAAAAAAACTTAAGTTTTGAAAGCCGCTAAAAACTTTTTAGCTGCAGGCTGGTTCCTACAGGTCGCATCAGAGAGCCTGTCGTATAGTGTCTGCTACAAACGCTACCGTCATAAAGTGAGGGCTCTGTCGTGGTTGCTTTCTTGACTAAAGTTTTTTTTTTTTGCGCACACAAGAAAAGAAACGCAAGATGCCTTAAAGCACCTGCCACTTCTAGAACTAACAATGAGGTTTCGCAAAGGCAATGTTATTGGTGCGTGCAAGCGTTTCGAACTAATCAATAGCTCGAAACGAACCACATAAGCCTTACTTTGGGGATTTGTTTCGGTACCTCTAGACTCGGCTTTTAACACCAACACTGATCACACAGTTGACTCTACTTCATGCTTTAATTGAGTTGTTCACTTGGGTGCTTTCTATATTAACAACGAATAGCGGTACAATACTTCAAAAGTAACCATGAAATAAACACAAATTCGCTGTTCTCTTAAATATTGGCCCTAGACTCTACATGGCGTACTATCAGGGGAATCGATGCGACAAAAACGTGTGGAACGTGGCGTCATCTGATGGCGGCTGCTTGGCTCAAACGAGACCTTTGGTTTTGGTTAAGCACAGTCGCTGCGATCATTCACCGGTGCAATCGCCTCATTTGTGGTAAAAGTACTGTTTTTAAGTGGTATTGTGCATTCGTTCCCTTGGTAGAACTTATCTCTCCGCATGAAGCGAGCACTACAACTTCTGCACGTTGATGAAATGCTTTCCTTCATCTAAGGCATGACATATTAATTTACTTGCTCTGTGAAGTAGCTTCAGCACACTCAGGTTGGGTGTGTTACGACACAACTTATCCTGTGAGCACTTGTTCCTGTTAAGGAAATCTTACCGTAGTAAAGAGATCCCCATCCAGACACGATGGCATTTTTATTGACGAGTGGCACACGAGTCATAGGCAAGCAGATGGGTGTGACTTCTTTGCTAAATTGGAACGCATATTTCACCTGCAACCGAGAAAAATGCCAGCACTCAGTGCAGCCATAATCTTTTCTTGCTTCGGGGTGTTATATTTACATTCGAACTTACTGCGTGTTATCTCTTAATTTTGTATTTGTATTACGTCTTTTCTATTTAAAATTTTTCTGCATCGAATTTTGTGTCCCGTTTCTTGTGTACAAACCATTTCTGCCTTACAACTGCCTAACCTCGATGCCTTTCTTTTTCTCGCCGAAGCACTATAGTAATGTAAACGAAAGCCAATTTTGTTTCCTTTGCGAAAACATGGCAAATTCCGAACACTAAGAAAATTAGAGGACCATAAAGCTTCGCCTCTAGGAGTTGAGTACAAAAGCAATGCCATGTTCCTAGTGCGTACTTCAAACACTTAGTGCATAAAACCTGTTGTAACTTGCTGTGTACCCACTACGTAGCCTAAAATAAACGAGCGTAATAGTGCGTGTGCTTTCTGTAATGGGTGACCACCTTTAAACCACGAAGGTAACCACTTGTTCCGATGACCACTGGCAATTTGCGCTCGTACCACGCACTATTACTGCGATACTTCACGTAGCAATGTGAAGCATCTATACAGGACGCATGTGTTCGTAAACCTTGAAAGATTCTTTCACTGAATTTTTACGCAGAGGAAGTTCTTTTCACTGTATTGACAAGCAGACGTGCAGCCTTGTGGTAGAAGATTCGCTCTCCACGCAAACGATACGTGATCGATCCTCACTAAGACCCGAAAAACCTTGGATCGCTCCCCACAATGATCCGGAATTTTTCAATATGTACTTTGTTTGCATCGTTCTCAACTTTTCGGTAAGCATTAGGTGATGACTTTTCGCTCACAACCACTGACGCCAATGCCGGTCTGAAACTTTAACGCTATCGCGTTAGCACAATAGCACGTCCGATGAACCAGGAATGTTTAACGAGGCATTGAGCAGAACAATCGCAGCTTGAGTGCTTTGTACAGATGCATCACCAGCAAGGTTAAAGCCTGTGGCCTCGGTGTTATTTACTGAGTTAGCAGCGAATAAACAATAATTCATCTATCTGAACGTCTTCCTTTAGGTTCAAGAAAAAAACACACAAAGAACTTTGAAAAGTGTTTAACAGACTTGGCAATCGCCCATTGTCATGGAAGGATCTTACGAAATTGGCGGAAATTGTCCTCAGCAGAGATTTCGAGGGCATTGTTGCATGTCTTGCGGAAAACTGGTCTCATAGATAGACTTTAAGTGCCGTTCATCGCATTATTGTCCTTTTTCATTATTTTCTTTCGCATTGTTTTAACGCCTTTCTCTAGTCACCTTTAATCCACTTCAAAGTTCCTTCCAGCAAAAGGTAGCCAGCCGGCCTGATAAATACCCTTTCTTGCGTCTTTTTCTTCCTCTACTTCCCAAGAGGTTATTTTAAAGTCTCTCGGAATTTTTTAATAAGTCTCAGTGAGTAGCCTGCTATTCGAACTAAGCGTGGCCTACGCATAGCAGTTGTGGAGATGTTGCTGTGCATTCTCGTCTGTGAGGTAAACAATGACGTCATGACTGGCACAACGAGTCGTGCACTTCGCTTTTCTGTTTTGAGATTGTTCTTGAGCTCGCTCCAAAACCACACATGCTCTTTCTTTCTCTGATGCATAGGTCTCACTGTCCCATATGGGAGGACAAAATAGTATTTGCGCGTCTTTTTCTGCACTTGTACCTACTCTGCAAATATGAGTCGTGCTGCAGAAGATTGTGCGCACACAAACCGACGTAATTTGCTACCTCTTAGCCATACACAGCTCCGGTATAAGACAATGTTTGTAGTTTAAGAGAATCATATCGGCTAAAATAACTAAGATAGCTTTTCTTTGGAGAAGAGACGCTTGTTGAGCCGTAAATGAAACGCACATAAAAAATTAAGGCAGCCTCACTACAATAAGGCAGGTTTAGGAAATGTGAAAGGAATGTAAAATGCGAGCAGTCAGAAACAACAAAGAGCAGCTGATCGGATTGGTCACTAAATGCTACAGAGGAGTACGATTTAGTTTTACGTAGAGTTACATCTTCAGGAGTTACATCTAAGTGACATACCGAGCGCCCCATATAAAAGGTGGAACATCATCTATTCATCCACCCATCCATTCATCCATCAATGCGTCTATCCATCCATCCACCAATTCATTCATCCGTTTCATGTCAATTTAATTTGAAGTCCTAAATCTTGAGGGCATGCACAAGGAGTAATTATTAAAATGGGTAATACATCGCGGTTGAAAAGAACGGGCTCAACGTACGAAGGTGAAGAAAATGATATGGGCATGTATTTAATAAATGCAAAAGATTAAAAAATATTTGCAAACATGCAAAAGATTGAAAAAGTCATAAGGTCTCCTTAAATTTTGGTTTTGAAAATTTGGCGCAACAATGAAATACGTGGCGTACCTTTATCGGTTTCGAACAAGCAACACACAGTGACAATTCTACCAACACCAGAGTTGCTAAACAGTATAGCTTGCCCAATTCGCCCCACATTCGCAGGATCTGCCTCCCGCGCATTCGGGGACGCAACGCACTTCATGTTGCACACTCAGCGGAAGTTAGTACTCTCACACTCACAAGGCATAAATACTGCCTCGGTGTCTTCACTGCTTCTTTTTGCGCTCAAAGAAAAGGTGCAATGTAAACACCACTTCCGATGAATCAACCTGCATTATAGCTAATAAGGGTTGCAGCGCGAGCACGAATGTGCTAGAAGAAACAGGCGAAAGTCGAGGCTCGTAAGCCAAAGAGGACAGCACGAGCAAGAGGACAACACAGCGCTCGGGTTGTCCTCTTTGCCTTCCGTGCCTCAACTTTCGTCTGTTTCTTCTAGCACATTCGTGCTCACGCTGCAACCCTTATTATCATGAATTCAAACCAACTAGCTCAAATCGCCATTCTTCTTCACTGCATTATAGCGGGTGTGCTAGTATGCGGATAGATTTACTGTACCTCAAGGAGGGCTATGTCGTTCACGTGCTTCGTCATGTGGTAACCCTTGTGAATGATCATCTTCGAAGCTTCGACCTTCTTGCCATTACGACGGTCCACACTGCCGTATGTAACAACAACCTTCTGCACGTATATATTGTCCCTGCGCCGAAGTTTTAAAAAATGGCAATTGTTGAAGAAAGGCATTGATGAAAGTGCACCCACATTTACGTGCCAAGTATAGTTTTTTTGCATGAAAAAAAAAACACATGTTTTGCCCAAGAAACCTAGTTTATCGAAGAACACAAGAAGAGCGTTATTACTTAACAACATCTAAAGTAAACGCTGCCTTTACTGTTCGTTACTAGTGCCAGTTTCTTGCACCGTTCGTTCAGTTATGGCTTGGAAACGTGCTCGAGCTACACCCCTTCGTAGATTTTGGTGAGAAATTGGTTGCACGGTGTTCAAATGCGCAGTCATGTGTGTTAAACTTGGCGATAGACTACGCATCCCTGTGACCATAGTTTTATTTCATTTCAGACGCTATAACAACACTTCAAGCATATGTGAAGTATTTGCGTACAGTGCAATCATTCGTGTCATGAAGGTAGACCCGCCCAATGAAATGCATTGCATGGTAAGTGGGTGCTTCGACAATGTTGAGCGAAGCGACACATCTAGATGAAGGGATAAGAGACGCGACTAAAAGAACAAGATAACAATATGCCACTCATTTATTGGTTGAAAAAAGCCTGGTAGGCCCGCCATTTTAAAACATGTGCAAAACACGTGCAAAGGCTATCCAAGCTAGGCGACTTCCCCTGCACTTCCCCCGCGAAAGAAGAAAGCGGGGAAAAAAAATTCGGGGCTGCGCTGCAGCATAGTGGTTTCACTCACTGTAAACATTTCCCAGATTACGGGCCATCTGTACGCGCAACCACTTGCTTCAACCGAATGGAAATAGGCGAACGAGTCATATCTCTTGAAAAAAGTTATTGAAAACGACTCCGGGTCCTACACAGAAGAGACGAGCAGGAACATTACGGCAAAACTGCATTGCCGCACGAAAAAGGTGTAGCTTCCCAGTATAATTGAACAGCACCCATTGGAAACACTTGAGGACCCATTATGACATTACATCCACACGGCTTTTTCGATGCAACCTTGTAATTTTAACAAATAGCTCAAATATATCACTGCTGCATAAAACTAGCATTTGTTTTAATAATTAGATTCTTACCAGATGTTTTTTTTTCGCTATTTAACATTTAGATACTGCCAGCCACCGGTGCCGCCGTCAAGAGATGGCGCTACGCGTACATGTCCCTAAGTCCTGCTCACGTCATTCCTGCGACTGTATCGTGCTCGGACTAATGTGTTTGGTCGTCGAGGTCGATTCCACTCTGCCAAAGCCATATTGGATGCCATTTTTACTTACAATACTAGGCAGTGGGCGGCTGTGAGAACGTGGCGCTCAGTAATAATTGTACCACCGCAAGCTCTTGCAGCGTCAGCGTATTGCAGCTCCAGAAACACCTGGCGGGCAGAGAAAACGCAAAACAGTCGTTGAGTTCAAGTCTCATAATCAACCTTTCTGTCGAAGCTGGGAATACGGATGAAATCAATGAGTTCGCACATAACGGTTTTCATCTAAGGAGCCATGTCATTGATTGTTAACGCCAAATCGTTTGAATGTTTTCTATTGACACAAGGAATAGGAGAGGTTGGCTTCTTTACAATGACATGCGCTGCTCCTTTGTCGCTTGGAGAGAAAACATTTAGTTAAATATAACAATAGGGCACATAATACAAAACCACATGGAGTTTCACACAGCAATGTAGGTTAGTTTGTACGCAATGTAGTGGAGCACGTTTCAAATAGGCAAATTAGTTTTCATATGGACGACCCCAACTCTATACTGGGTGTGCGTTTTGTGTGATCGTAAAGTATCTCTGTTGCATACACACTTATATCACCTGGAAATAAAGTGCGAAGTATTCATTCACATGTGGTTACATGACTTGCATGTGGACCTTAGGTATACCGGAGGTATTAGTAACGTAGCAACTGTAAGATCGCTGTGTATGTTGTTATATTCTTGTGACTATTTTACAGAGCGTAGAATAAGAGTTCACTGTTCAATATTTTTTGGGCACTTTTCATTATCTAAGTGGAAGACAAAAACGAGGAAGGAAAGAAACGACACGCTGGTAAACAAAAACGCACCATTCTCTTTGTATAAAAAGGAAAATAACAAGGAACAAGATGGATATAAGAAGTGCGTCATCAAAATTCTAATCAAAAAATGCTCCTGTATGGTGTGGAAGAGAGAGCGCAAAGACGTCACAATTTTATTCAGTGAATTAGTCAGTGAATCAAATCATCTATGGGTAATTCAATACAGCGTCAAAAACAGAGTCAACGTCTTAACGAACAAGACCGCGAGACGAAAAAGCTGCTGTCTTGCATCTTGACATATTTCCAGTCTCTATAAGTGACAGTCAAAACAGCAGACATTGCAGACACTTATGTTGTGATAGGCCCTCATTGTACATGCTATAATTGGCATGCCTGTGTTTGCACTTCCGCTGTAATCCGCAAGTGCACGTTAAGTCAGGTCACACACTGCTTAAAACGATTTGGGAATAATACCGTACCATCCACGGATACTGAGTTTCTTTGACTTCAGTGCCATTCACTATCATGGTCTTGTGGAAGGACACACCACATCCTGCAAATAAATTGGTGAGCAGCAGATTATTAGATTACGATGCCCGGAAGACAGACATATTGCTGTGTCCTAGATAATTAACAGGTACCTAATCACATCTGTAATTCTAGAAGCCCCGAGCTGCGCACTTTCGTGCGCAACCCCCTGAGCATTGTTGTGTTTTAATGGCTAACTTGTGTTGCTTCGTCTTTATATCTCTATTTTAGATATGAACAGTGAAGATTTTGTCATGTTCCTGGCTTTAACGAAGATATTTCGACTTCTCATTCGAGCTGGATAAGCGGCCAAAAGCGGACCTAATAGTTTTTTTTTTCTTTTGTGATTGCTTATTCGAGCTTTGGATGTATAAAAATGCAAACTCTCATGTCCATTAAATAAACGAGATCGTCACTATATTTTAATATTTTCAAATGACAGGTAAAAACATGGTAATTTAGGCTACGGTGAGCATCTTATTATAACTGAGGAAACATGCTAAAACAGCCAAAACAAGAAAAAAAGCAACTATTAACGAAAAAGGCAAAGTAACCATATTGACAAACGTTCAGCAAACGGTTGCCTGTTATAGCTTTATTTTTGTAATGGCAGTCCCGATTCAGTTATGTAGAAGCTAGTGAAACCACTTCGGTCATGAAAATTGCTCATTTGCAGGTTGTAAGTAATGCGGCATTTGTAGTTGGGTGCAAAAAAAATGCAGGGGCAACTCGCCTTTAGGATTTAGCGTCACCTTTTGCGCAGACAGCTGAAAAAAAAAAAGAATAACGTTGGTGAGGTCTGTAACGTTTGTAGCGCAGCATATACTAATCCAAGGAACATATAGAGGATATAACTGTACTGCTTTAAGCAATTGTTATAGTTGTGCTGTAAATGTGTGATAAGTAAATATCACAAATACTATATACCTGAATAATTAGAATACACTCACTTATGTACTTTTTTCATTCCCTATACCTTCATTAGATTCTTTCTATGTGGCTTCCTATTCTGCCAGACTCAGCAGCATGCTCTGGCAAATAAACTCCAGCCTCTAGATGCAAGACCGCTATCAGAAAGCTCATTCTGGGGCCTTAGTCCGATGGTTTTGTACATGAAAAAGGCCACGAAAGCACTGTTGTGCTATTAGGAGTGGGCTTCATGAGCGCCATCACAAGTGCCAAGTCTGTGTTGTGCACTTTGAAGCTAACTCTTCATTGTTTTCGTTCTTACTACTGTGTTTTTTATACTTTCTGATATAATGCCTTCCGAATTCTCACTTGTAGGCTACCCAACATGACCAATGCTCAGTTCATCTCCTTGCCTTTTCTCTAAGTTTATTTCTCCCTCTCGATTTATAAGCTAGCTTTCATTAATGTAGTATCAAACAAAGAAACATGCTTTGAAAAACTTATCTTCCATCAAATATTATGCTCCGTTTTATACAAGGAAAGAAGCCGTAAGTGCAAGGCACCATCGACAAAGTAGCGTTCAGTAAAAAATTTGAATAAATTAATGAAGGAATGAATGAAATCAAGTTTTATTACTTAGAATGTTGGTTCCAAAAACACGTAGATTCCTGGAATCAGCAATAGGCTCACAATATTTCTAACTGTGCAGAATAAATAGGTTCTTGATGACGTGCGTCATTTCATTTTTGCAGATGAAATGCCTTTTAGTTTAGTGGTTCAGAGTTTTGTAGAACAAAATTTTGATTTCCATTTCACCTCTCAATAATATTATTATGGAAGTCTGTATTTACTACGGTAGTTTTGCACATAATTACTTTATTTAGGCATTATAAGTGCTGGTTAGTAAGGGTAATAGAGTGGATTTGAAGAGAAGGGAAACGCGTGAGACGGCTGCAAACTTGGATAGGATTTGTGTTAAGGAAGCTCGCAGAAATTACTTGACTATAAAAATCAGAAAACCAGGTTAGTGTAAAAAAAAACATGGGAGGTACCTTCGCTATGCAGTGGCTGGAAGTACTTCTTATGATGATGAGCATAAGTTACTTTATTCGATCCTGTATTTATGTCTGTACATGATAAAGTTGTTGCCCAGTTTATAAAAAGTTAAGATACACTGTGTAGTTGGTGGCCAGGCATCTCTGCAAAAATGCGCTCAGAATAGCGAGTGAACAGGCTATTGTGAAGCATGTAGCGCAAAAAAATCAAAGAGAAAATTCTGACTTACCCCATGAAGCGTGACCAGGAGAAGGCTCAGCCCTATCAGGGATTTCACTACTGTCGGAGTCATTTTTGTGCCACACTCTCGGCAGCTACGCATAAAGAGGGAGCTTCTTGATACTGCGCTTTTTATGTTGAGAAAGAAAGTTTGACGTATCTCACAGTACGGAAATATTGGCATCGAAACATAATGCATTTACTGCACTTAAGAAGTTGCTCTAGATCCCTCCACGGTGGTTTCGTGAATTGGGGTGTAGGTTATTTTCTGATGCTTCACTTTTATTGCGTTACAGTAAGGACTTCCTCCTCGGGATTTGGTGATTTGATTGATCGATATGTGGAGTTTAACGTCCCAAAACCACTATATGATTATGAGAGACGCCGTCGTGGAGGGCTCCGGAAAATTGGACCACCTGGGGTTCTTTTAACGTGCACCCAAATCTGAGCACACGGGCGTACAACATTTCCGCCTCTATGGGAAATGCAGCCACCGCAGCCGGGATTCGATCCCGCGACCTGCGGGTCAGCAGCCGAGTACCTTAGCAACTAGACCACCGTGGAGGGGCCCTCCTAGGGCTTTCCACAATAGCCTAAATGGTCCCCTGAATGATTGATATGTGAGGTTGAACGAACCGAAATCTCCATATGGTTATGAGAGACGCCGTTGTGGAGGGCTCCGGAAATTCAGACCACCTGGGGCTCTTTACCATGCACGCGAATCTGAGCAGACGGGCCTACAACATTTCCGCCTCCATCGGAAATGCAGCCACAGCAGCCGGGATACGATCCCGGGACCTGCGGGTCAGCAGCCGAGTCCTTTAGCCACTTGACCACCATGGCGGGGGCTAAAAGGTCCAATTTGTCTTTACATGTATTGCGCGTATACCGTAGGTTGTTCGGTGGGATGACCTAACGGCCATGTGATCTGATAACAGTAAATGACGGCAAGGAACATAAAGGGGATATAATTTGAGGCAGTTGTAAACATTGATATATTACATTACATTACATATATTAAACATTACATTAGTACACATTACATATATTTTTAAAATATGTTCAATATTTAATCGGGCATAATTGTAAATTTTGACTAATCTTGTCTTTAACGAAGAAAACTATCCCTTGCATTTACACTTCTTTCTTTCGTGCGACAACCAAAAAGTCACTTTCGTACTCTTGATATCGTCTCACTCTGCCACAGGTATCCTCAGGAATGAGACAATATACATCCCACGGGGACGCGTTGTGGCGATCCACTCGCGCTGCAGAGATACCCCGGCAAAAATGCTAAAGCTTCGTTCTCACTCCTCGAAGAGTCAGTGTCGCCTATTTTTGTACCACCAATTAGGCCACAGGAGAAGCTCCATACCTAAAGCTTTCAACCATTCAATCTATCACTCAATCATACTATGTTTTCATTCTTCTGCGTAATAAGTTTTCACGTGGCTAACTGCTTTATTTTCGTATTACCACTGGAGCTCGGTGCTGCTGTAAAGGCCATATCGAGATGTAAAGTTCTTGCAATTCTTAGGTATCATGTATGCTTTGTACCACTGTCATAATTTGTACTGGCCAATTGAGGGAAATTCGCTTTCAAAGGTCATGATAGAATTATGACAGGTAACAAGGAGGTTATTGAAAGAATGCAATTTTTTGAACATTCTTAAAAGGCACTGAAGTAGAATATTCCGAAATTTTCACCACAGTATTTTTTAACGTCTACAGAGGTCTAGGGAGACCAATCTTTAGAGTAGTTTGCATCAATCTAAATTGACAACTCTGGTCATAACTGATCCCGCAACTTGCACTGGCTCAATAAGAAAGGTTTTGTTCGCTACGCAATAAGCAATATACGATGCCGTCAAATATAAGAAGCCCGAGCACACGTCTTTGAAATGCATTTACACTCTTGACGGTTGCAAATTGCGTACTAAGTTGCAGAACCTTCACATATGAACAGACAGACAGACAGACAAACAGACAGACAGACAGACAGACAGACAGACAGACAGACAGACAGACAGACAGACAGACAGACAGACAGATAGATAGATAGATAGATAGATAGATAGATAGATAGATAGATAGATAGATAGATAGATAGATAGATAGATAGATAGATAGATAGATAGATAGATAGATAGATAGATAGATAGATAGATAGATAGATAGCAATCTTAAAATGTATCTCCAAGCCCTCTCGGGTGCGCTGAGTGGTACGTTTCACTGTTAAAATTGTGTGACCACTCTTTCAGAAAATACCGTAATGCAAAATGAGCAAAAACGACATGACAGCAGCAGTACTGAGCTTTTTCCCCGTTCCTGTTCCTTTTGAGCTACGGTTTTTCTTCAAAAACTTCTGTGCTCTTTGTAATGAATGCGCTTAGCACTCAAGACAAAACCTGTGCTCATTATTGGCGATATGTCCCACATGTCTATTAGAATAATTGAGGGAAAACGAAATATTACTCTTCTATTTATCCTTGCAAGCATCAATTTATACTTTTTCATGAATGGCTGTCGGTCAGAGCGAGTGCAGCTAACGGGTGTTCTAATGAAGGCATTTCGAAGTACTTGTAGTCAACAATTGATTGCTATTACACAAATTAAAGGCCCCCAAGCTCTCATGACACAGAAAAAATTACCTATGGTTAGTTAGGAGCCAGTGCCGGCTTGAACTATGATGCAGGAGAGTGAGCGGTGGATAACGAGCGTGAAGGCTCCCTCAAAGTTTCTTGCTAGCTATTTTACGCTTATAAGTGAATAGAACATGATATGCCATAGGTATATCGACAATGAACTCGCTGTTTGACCTGCATTGTGTGAATGGTGTCACTCACGGAATAGGATGAAAATTCTATTGATGGGATCTTCAGTGTGACAGCTGCTTCTTATTTTTTGAACGAAACACCTGAAGGAAGGAAGAAAACAAAAGGGGCAAGGCGGAGAGGTCAACCAGACACACCTGCGAAACTATTGCGGTATATCAGCGCCAACGGATGCCGATTTAAATATAGCAATCGTCTTGGATTGCACATAACGTATGGTTTAAGAAGCGCGAAAAATTATTAAGCAGGTCGGCCCTGGTGTTCTTGTTTCTTCGATGCCGCTGGCGTTCTACAGTTAGGCAAGACGTCCTACATCTGCACGTATGGACATCCATATCAGCATCTTTTGTCCATAGAAACAGCAACGCGAACAATATATATATATATATATATATATATATATATATATATATATATATATATATATATATATATATATATATATATATATATCATATGACACAGCCCATCGCTTTGACGAGTGAATTGTCTTGATCAACGAAGTGAGACGCGTGTTATGGCAGCTATATACATATATATATATATATATATATATATATATATATATATATATATATATATATATATATATATATATATATATATATATATATATATATATATATATATATATATATATATATATATATATATATATATATATATATATATATATATATATATAGCTGCCATAACACACGTCTCGTCTCACTTCGTCGATAAAGACAATTCACTCGTCAAAGTAGTGTGCTGTGTCGTATGATTCTTAGGAGATTGTCACCTATTCCCCTACTAAATAAAATCTACTTTTGAATGGAAGGTTGCCTAGTTTTTGTTTACAGGAACGCAATGCAGTTTTTCGCATATGAGTAAATTACTCAGCCAGGTTATCGAAAACACAAGTCTTACAATGAGAAGTTGCTTCGTAGGCAAGAAAAGGCCCAAAGAGGAAATGCTTGCAGTGGTGCCGCCTTAAACTCTCGGAGCAAACGCCATGACGTCATAGATTTTAACAGCGCGTGCTATGTCATAGGAAGCCTCCAATTAGTGAAATTGACCTACACTGGAAGGTCATTGATCCGGTTCTCTAATGTGCGTTTTCTGGGGGTATTTCGGATAATGTCTATTAAGAAAAATTGTTCATGCGTTTTATTCAATCAATCAATCAATCAATCAATCATTTTATTTTCATTAGATAAGGTGACGTACGGGACTAAAAGTTCAAGAGCTTGACGAGGTTCTGACCCCATTCACAAGTTGACAAAGCAGCAGGAATGGCAGTCAATCATGCACAACAAATATGAAATAAACATATAGGTATAACATCACAAAAAAGTAATACAAAAAAGTTTATGAAAACAGTGCTAACATAAAGAAAGAGTAGTTCAAATGTATGGTCATGAAGTGGCATGAACATGAAAAGCAATAAAGATCTTGCGCTGAATTGGCTAACATGACCACGAAATCTGATATTGGCCATTTAGTTTTTTTTTCTACGAGCTCCCATTGCGTGCGAATAAGTGAGTATGCTGGTCTCTAGGTCTACGATTGGTGTTTGCGTTTTACATCGGGAACAGGAAGGCTATTTGGCGTCTATGAAGTTTGATAATCTGCTATTCATTTTATTGACGTCTAGTTTTTAGTATATTGACTCATTCGCTGCCCATTGACTAGCCAGCCAATCTTGAAAGTTCTCCGGAGATTCATCCCCTTTTGGCTCCCTGATATGAAGCAAATAGTGACGGTTTACGCATTTGAAGGACCTTGAGAGTTCCCTCCCTGCCTGCAGCTCTGTGCTAACAATATGATGATCGCTTACGAATTCTACCCTCCCGTTAGCCCAGGAAAACTTTCCTACGAACTCGATGAATGTGACATACAGCAGAATCTTTTCATACGGAGTTGCCAATCATGCTGGACAAGTTGAAAAAAAGCGATTATTTACTGTTGCTCCACTTATGTAAACCACTTTCGGTTTTGGTTTCGCGGCAACGACTCGGACAGTGACGCCGATGGATAATTGGCTTGGTCACGTGATTAGAGAAGCCTGTGACATACATCGTTCTGAGTTTAGTCTGCTCTCACGCACACGTGACACGCGAGCGCCAGCAAAACAAGCGCGCTGACAGTCGCCATGGCCACCTGCAGTAGCATCTAGGCAATGGCGAGGCAAAAAGCAGCCAGAAGTAAACAAAGCGTTTATATTTACAACGTATACACAGTACGCTGAAGGAGGAGAGGGCAGCCCCACTGTTCGATG